GGAGAAAAACAAGGATAGCCAGGAAACATCCTCACTTATCTCAAGCTTTGTAGAAAATCCAAAGTATGGGTCTTTGGGTCACCATTTTTGCTATCTTTATATCCCTCCCCCCCCTCCCCTTCCTAAATGCCAAATATGATAAACATACCATTTCTTGGAGACAATAAGAAGGGCGACCTTGAGAGCAATAGGCAAGAATTTAGGCTAAGAGGCTGAAGCATTATTTAAGCTCTGGTTGGGGTGGGGAAAGATAATAACCAGAAAACAGCTGAGTCAAAGATCTCCCTGATTCGTAGGGTGGGAAACTTAAAGTACCTGTCAGATTTTCAAGATTGTGTAATTGTAGTTTAGCTCAATGCAGTGTCATTCTGTTCTTCTTGTGGAGTTGATGTTTTGGCCTGTTTTACCTGGCTGCTTTGACACGTACTTGGGCTTAAGTCTTCCGGTGTCATGCAACACATTGGGCTAAAGGTTTTCTCCAACAATTTTGGATTGGTTTCTGCTATAATCTGTGAATATTATTGCAGTATATATAGGCTGTGCACGTACAGGAGTTCATATTTTCTCCGTTTACTTTTAATGTTGACAGTAACATGGGAATTGGGGGTTCAGCAGAGGGATGGCATGAGGGTCTTGTGGTCCACCAGCTGCCTGCAGAGCTGGCAGCAGAGTCGGACAGTGGGGAGGAACATGGGCCAGTCTTGGAGTCTGGGGAGGGCTTGGATGAGGGATCTGCATCCGACACAGACATGGGGCCAGGGCCATCTGAGAGTTCTGTGCTGGCTCTGGAGCCTCCAGAATCTGGCAGCAGCGAGGCAGAGGAACAAGGGGAACCTGTTTCCGGTGTGCACTCGCGCAGAGCTGCCAGAAGACAAGAACAGTTAAGACAAAAGGAGTGACTCAGGAGTAAGGCTTAGAGATGATTGGCCCCTCCCATAAGACATAAGCAAAGGGACAGGAACCTTTGCAGGAAGCAACTTTGTTCATTCTGGTTGGTTTAAAATCTGAAGCTCCATGACTTTGTGCTCTGTTTGGCCTTGTACAGCTAATTGGCAATTTAGTCGTTGGCAGCATTTCAAGGGAGATAAAGGTGCGTGCTTATCAGCCTCATCCTGAAAGACTGTGGCAGACTTCTGTTGGACTATTCATCAACTGTTTGGGACTCATTACGGGCTATGAATGCATATAATTCACAGCTGTTGAAATGAAAACAAGGTCTTTGGGAGCAGCTTGCGATTGTTACTGTCTCAGGAAGCCTTGGTCAGAACAGAGGGAAACAATTGTCTCTGTGTTACAATGTAGTTTTACAATTTTACAGTTTGTGTTACGATGCAGTTACAGTAAACAGGTAGTCCTCGATTTACAATCCTACGTTCATTCGAAGTTACAAGGACACTTAAAAAGTGACTTATGACCAGTCCTCGTATTTATAACTCTCAAAGCAACCTGGAATTATGTGATCCCAATTTGTGACCTTCCCAGTTGGCTTCTGACAAGCAAAGTCAATAAAGGGAGCTGGATTCACTTAATTGCAAACATTTGCTTAACCGTAGCAAAAAGAAAAAAAACCTCATAAAACTGGATATGGCTCATTTCACGACTGCCATGCTTACCGATGGAAATCCCGATCCCAATTGTGGATGTAAGTTGAGGGTTGCCTGTGGTATGGTGATAAAGAATTGTGTCAGATTAATTGCTGATTTGTATTGTCCTCTCTTTCTTTTTGTAGTAGTAAATCAGAAGTGGTGGACAATGAAACGGTCATACGTGCCCGAGGGCTCCCTTGGCAGTCTTCGGACCAAGACATAGCTCGTTTTTTCAAAGGCCTTAATATTGCCAAGTAAGAAAGTTGTCTATGGAACTTCTCAATCATCCAGGTCATGGTGGTCCCAAAGGTGCTGTTTTTCCAAAAGGCAACTGGGCTTTCTTGGTGTTTCCGTTAAAAAAAACTGTTCACTTCTTATCCAAGAAGAACTAAAAGAAGCTTCTTGGATGAGGAGCAAAATGCTTTCAAAGAAAACACCCAAAGAGTCTAGTTGCCTTTTGAAAAAATAAACACTTTGGGACAAGGAAGAAGGATGGGTCAGTGCTGTTTCCAGATGGATATCCATTTTACTTTTCTGTTGCTTGTCTTCTGCCTTGATAGTCTTAGCTATAAAGGATTCGGGATGAGATTTTTATACTTAAAATTTGGCCACCCTGAGAAGTCAGTGTGGACCACAACCTCCTGAAAAACATGAACAATTGCTGGATGTTGTCTTTATCTAGAGCCATCGCTATTAAGACCAGAATGTTATTATGTTCAGCTTTCTGTGGAGCCAAGATGGAGAGGGCACTGGTCGTTGTTTCTTCAGAATCTGGAAGGAACAATCTCTTCTAGATTAGGTACAATCAGAAAGCAATAGAACGAACTGACTCTACATTCAGCCCACAAATTCCATTTTGGGACTGATTTCAAGCTGCCGATAAGGTCCTTGTGCTGTAACAATCTGGCTCATGTTTTGTACTTTCTCAGTGCTTTGCCACCTCCACATTTTATAATTCGATGTCCTGAAGAGTTCAAAGGCTTTTTTACAACCCTTCAAGTTGTTTTTGGTTCATTCTAATTCAGCGAACACAAAGCTGTGATCTTGTTCATCAGTTTGATTATGATTGCTTTTTATAGGCTTCTGGAAGTTCCAATTCTTTGTCCTGTCCCTCCACACTCTCACCCACTCATGATGGTCCCAACATAGTAAAAGAGCAAATTTTAGCTTTTACAAAGTTAAAGGTAAAGGTTCCGCTCGCACATATGTGCTAGTCGTTTCCAGCTCTAGGGGGCGGTACTCCTCTCCGTTACAAAGCCAAAGAGCCAGCGCTGTCCGAAGACGTCTCCGTGGTCATGTGGCCGGCATGTTTAAATGCCAAAGGCACACTGAACACTGTTCCCTTCCCACCAAAGAGGTCCCTATTTTTCTACTTGCAGTTTTACATGCTTTCGAACTGCCAGGTTGGCAGAAGCTGGGACAAGTAATGGGAGCTCACTCCATTACACGGCACTAGGGATTCGAACTGCCGACTTCTCTGATCGACAAGCTCAGCGTTTTAGCCTCTGAGCCACCATGTCCCTTTTTACATAGTTAGAGAAGCTCTATTTCCTCACCAGATACTTGAAATGGAACATCTGGAGCTGAGAGAATATCACTATAATTTAAGTCTTATCTTCCTGACTCTCGCATTCATTGCCTCCTCTTTCAACGAGATGGGAGTAGCTTTACTTTGCATTCTGACAGCTCTTCCTAGTGATTTGAGAGTGGATCCCATTGATTTATAAGACATACAGTTTTATTATTTTGATTGCATTGTTATTGTATGTGGCTTTAGAGCAGGACTGAAATCTTATCATCCAAAGCTCAATTGCCTCAATAAGCTTATCCAGATCTTTAAAAAATGACGTCACTTTGGAAGAAAACTGGATGTGGTGTGGTTCATTCTCTCTGGGGGTGTCTATGTTTCCCCTTTCTTTTAGAGGTGGTGTGGCCTTGTGTCTCAATGCTCAAGGAAGGCGAAATGGAGAGGCGTTGGTGCGGTTTGTCAGCTCTGAACAGAGAGACTTGGCTCTGGAGAGGCACAAACATCACATGGGGAGCCGATATATTGAGGTAGCTTACTTAGCTATAATTGATTAATTATAAATAAAGAACTAGATGTGATATATTGGAGGGGTGCAAAGAGGATGTAGCAATAGCAATAGATTTATATACCGCTTTATAGCCCTCCCTAAGCAGTTTACAAAGTCAGCTTCTTGCTCCCAGCAATCTGGGTCCTCATTTTATCGACCTTGGAAGGATGGAAGGCTGAGTCAACCTGGAGCCTGGTGAGATTTGAACTGCAGGCAGCCAGTAGAAGTAGCCTGCAGTACTGCACTCTAACCACTGCACCACTGTGGTTCATGTAACAGTCATTTACTTGTTTCCTATATTTAAATAATTTACATGGCTGACCATCTCACCACCATCTTCCTGAACAGTTGACAATGAATCAAGACTGAGATTACGATAAAAAAAAAAAAATCAATGTATCTTGTGCCAAGAGGCCAAATAGATCATTCCATCTTACAATCAATAATAATCACAAAGGAAAAGACGAACCAACTAAGAGGGCTACCCTATCATCCCAGCCCAAAAGCATGAGCGAGGCACAGCTGCAGTTTAAAAAGCAGGAAAAAAGTACTTTTTCAAAGGCTGCTTCTTGGCACGCAGCACTGCTCAGCTGTCCAGGCACCAGGCTGATGACGATTTACAGGTGCGACATCATAAATCACCGAACCATAAATCATCCAACCATTAGTTAACCCTGTTGGATCCTACCCCTGGATGAAGGCCATCCAAACTCCAGCTTCTTTTACTTTGTATACTGGTCTCTAGTGCCAATAAGATTGCATTGAAGGGACATGACCATGACCATCCTGTCCGTTCTGGTGGGTCAAGGAGAAACAGTCAGAGTGATCCCACAAATAATTTGGCCCTTGTCCATAGAGGGCTTTATGGTGATAGCTTAAACTATACTTGGAAACTCAATAGAAGTGTAGCGTACATTCCTCTTGTGGTGTTTTATGAGTGTTTTAAAGATTAATTAAATGTTCTGTTATATGAGTACTTCCAAATCTACAGAATAAATGTTCATCTCCTGACGTTCTATTTGCCTTGTGGAGCACTGATCTGCTGGTTCCAGGTGGTATCCCAGACCAGTTCTGGAAAGCTAGATTGATGTGGTCTACAGGAGAAGTATCCCATGGTCTTCCCAAATACTATGTCTTAAAATGGTTTTGCAGATAACTAGGTTTATAAAGAGCATCTTGGGTCATTTTAAAAACAAGTGTGTATATTATGCTCATATCACTCATCAAATATCTTGACATCTATCACAATTGTTATCTTTGCCCCTTTTTTGTTTCAGGTTTACAAAGCCACAGGAGAGGAATTTCTGAAAATTGCTGGTGGTAAGATCTTTAGGAAAACAAACTATTAAGCACGTGATTGAAACTGTACTGTGAGAAGGTACTTTTAAGTGGCTATGAGAAATAATATAAAATCTGATGTATCAAAATTTATTTTTGGTTACTCAATATGAACATTACCAAATTTGGGGTGGGGATGATATATAAGTCTCATAATTTTAGCTGTAAATAGTTAGGAGTTTTTAACTGATTCAGAGATGTAGAAAGTTGTTCCAAACAGACCAGAACGAGGAGACCAAATGTTTGATAATGTCTTTGTTGGCATGACATAACAAACTAGGTAATTGTACCTTAGCTTACTATGCTGTACAAATTCAGCTTCTGTGTTTAATTTCTGTCTGGCATGTGCACCCAGAAAACTGATTCAATTTTGCAAGCTAACCACAGTTGGGTGCATTGTTTATTCATTTATTAGATTATATCTTGTCTTGTACAACCCGTAATAGCACACGTTTTGCTCACTGATTCTAATAACCCCACAACAACAACCTTGGAGGTGGATTGGGCTGTGAGGACCAGTCCAAAGTCACCCAACCAGCTTCTGTGCCTTGGGGAGGGACTAGAACTCACGGCCACTCATTTCCTCATCCAGCACTTTCTTCGTTATACCAAAACCTAGAACTAGAATGAGCTCTCAATTTCAAATTTAAATTTACAATGGTTTCTCTCTGAGGGTTAACGATAAGGCATAGCCTTTCCTGTCCTTAATGATCACCTCTTCTGTCTAGGCACCTCCAATGAAGTTGCCCAGTTCCTCTCCAAGGAGAACCAAGTCATCATCAGGATGCGGGGTCTCCCTTTCACTGCAACGCCTGAGGATGTGCTCGGCTTCTTGGGCCCCGAGTGTCCTGTCACTGGAGGCAAGGAGGGCCTCCTCTTTGTCAAGTATCCAGATGGCCGGCCAACTGGAGATGCGTTTGTGCTATTTGCTTGTGAAGACTATGCACAGAATGCCCTGAAGAAACACAAGGAGATCTTGGGCAAACGCTACATTGAACTCTTCAGAAGCACAGCAGCTGAAGTCCAGCAGGTTGTAGCAGATGTTGTATTATGGGCATTTGGGTCTGTTTCACCTTTTTTTGTTCCCCATTGGGCCATCTTGGGGATAAGAGCCACGGGCAACTGGTGCAGAGATCCAGGAGCAATGAGAGTCATTTAATCCTAGAATACGACACAAACAATCTTTGGAAGTTATCCACTGATGTTCAGGGCAACGAAATGAGTTGGATGGTTTTTCTTAACTTCTCCAGAGGGGAAGTCAGCCCCACTTGGAAGACCAGGCCATGAAATCAGCTCCACAGGAAAACTCCTTTTATTGAGATTAGCTATAATAAGAGAATCTGGTATGTCTGATTATATTGTACCTCCTTTTCCACCTATTTATAATTCAGTGACAGGAAGATGGCTGCCTGAGCTATTTCTGAACATTATCTCAATTCCAGATTTAAAAAATGTTCCATCCCTTTTGCTTTGGTAATAGTTCCTACATTTTTTAAAAATATTTTTATTTGCCTTTTTCATTAATATTCATCCCAGTTCCAATTTTACAAGGTCAGTGTGTACTGGTTATATCAAGTCCCCCCCCCTTTTTTTTTTACATCATAGTATGCATCCTGATTAAAACTATCATACAGTATAATCTCTTTTGACTACATAATGTAGTTCCTACATATTTTTAGCAAGGTCATCTTCCATACTCTCCAAAGAGAAAAATTCTGCCCCAGTTTATTAAGAGCAAAAACCTTTCCCCTTCATATCACCAGGAGGAATTCCTTGTGATGTCTTCACTAAGTCCTCAAATATAGTTTCCAAGCCAGAAGTGCTAGATCCACTCATTGCAGTAATCCATGCACACAGGTTTAGCAAGATAATGTGTGACCTGACTATTTTGTTAGGATTCGTCTTTCTGGTTGTGCTTTTTTGCAAAATGCTTCAAGTAGAGGAAATCATTTGATTTCATTGTGTTGATTCCAAATAGCGAATGTAATCAACCCAGAGAGGGCCAATTAGGGACCCTTCCCCGTTTATAGACTAGCAAATTAGTCTTCTCCGAAGAGAAGAGAGAGCAATCAAGGCTGAATTCCAGAGAGGCAGTTGTCTTCACCTGTTCCAACAAAAACACAAGCAAGGATCCCTTGGCACCATCTTAAACTCTGGTTGGTTCCTTGGGGCAACAGCCCTTCTAGACTGAAGGAAGATTGACCAGGTGGTCTATAATCAACTTTAGGACAATAGTGGCTCTACAGCTGGCTGGTCTCCAGTTACTTCTCTCTGGGGGTTGTCTGTTGGGCAGAGCCCAAGAGGGACTTGCTAGAAACATTACCAGTGAGATTTGAAAAGCTGGGAGTTTGTGATTGTGTGATTTCTCTGAGCTTATTTCTTTAGCCAGATGGAGGCTTTTCTTTGTGCCACGAAAGGGACTAATCTGTTGATACAGACGGAGACGTTTCTGGATCCGCTTGAAGCAAAGGCAAAGGAAGGGGCTTTAAGGAATGACCATATTACCATGGGCTTGCCTTAATGTCCAGGCATGAATTTTTTTTTTAGCTGTGGGTCACTCATTAAACTGACCCAAGAGTCTTAGGGTGAGACTTTGCAATCTACAGAGGCTTGTTTGTTTATTAAATTTATATTCTCCCATTTTGCTGTTCAGGAGAATTTCTGACCACAGACATCCTGCCATTTTAATATGAAAAAGAGATGATAGACTTAGGCTGAGCCCAGTAATAAGCCCAGCAGCTACAAAACAAAAGAACACACACAGATACAAAGACACACACACACACACATACACACACACAAATCAATCAACCAGGCCCACTTGAACAATGAAATCCTACATATTTTGCCCTTCCCAGAATGTTGCAAGTCCTCAGCCCCCCCTCCCCCCAAAGGACAATGCAAGCTGATGCAAGCCTTACTCCCTATTAATCCAGAAGTAAAGTGCTCCAATGAACCATGTTTGTGGGGGTTGCTGGGGAGGGGGCAAGAGAGGAGGAAGGAGGCCCAATTTTTTTCATAGCTTCAGCCTGCATAATCCTGGCAAGATATACACACACACCCTTAACACTGGATACAAGGATTATGTAATTAGGGGTAGGGGGAGAAATCTGCCAAAAAATAATTGAGTGGTACAATTCCTTACACTTTTATGTAGAATGAGAGCATATGCACTAAGGCAAATTCCTTCTTTGTCTAATCACATTTGGCCAATAAAGAATTCTATTTCTATTTTCTCCTCTACATTCTATGCTATGCTATGCTATTTCTATTTCTTTTTTATTTTATTTTGGAAAAACTTTATTAGCGATTAAAAAAGAAAAACACTATGTACAGTGCGTCTTAATGTTGTAGACAAAATCTGTACATACAAATACAAAATAAACCTATAAAACATATAAAACATACGTTTCTAATCAACTAAGACGGTGTGCTTTTTTCTTGGTAATGATTTTACTACTATTCATTTCTTATTTGGTAAACATTTTTAATTTAACTACTCCATTCATCAAATACATATTTTTTAAATTCCTGGTTTCTACTTCTATTTCCATTTTCTCCTCTACATTCTATGCTATGCTATGCTATTCCTTCCTGCCCCTGCCTTAATGATCCATCTGTGAGAAGTAGCGCAGGATTCAGCCCTGTGTTTTATTTTGATCATTCCTGCCCAGCACCTAACAAGGAATTCTCTACCAGGGTTAATCAGTGTTTAAAGCTCTGCTCTCTCTCACCTCTGGGTTAAGAATTCAGTGTAGGCCAGGCGGCTAGCCCATTTGGAAGTATTTTGCTGAGGGAAGCTGATCTACTTCCTTCTTCAGCAATTAAACAATTACAGAACCAGTTCAGCTTAATGAAGCAAAGATCAGAGGGAACCTTTTCACCTTGCGTGCGCTGCAGTTTTTAAGCCGGGTGTCTGGATTAGCCATTAGCCACACTTGTTTCGGCTGGACCAGTTTATCCCAGTTGCCCTGAGCTGGCTTGCTATGGTGGATACGTTGGGGAAGGGCTGAATTCATTAGCCGAATTCAGGGTGTACTTTGATACCTTGATCTGTTCGAAAATGGTAAAAAGGGAAACGGACTCAGGGAGCGGCTGCTGGGGGTTCAGGAGAGCCCCTAGCTAAGATTCTTGGCGGTTGAGAAGAACCCCCAAATCCCACTCCTGGCTGGCCCCACCCACCCCATTCCGCCCCTCCCAGGAGTCCCACGAGACCTGCTTTGGATGCAGGTAGGTGCAAGGCTCGGGGAGGGCAAAAAACAGGCCTCCCGGAAATTCAGAAAGGCCGGAAATGGGCCCGTTTCCGACTTCCAGGGAGCCTCTGGAGCCCGGGGGAGGCAGATTTTGCCCTCCCGGAGGCGCGCGAAAAAACCCTGCGGGGCCGGGGGAGAGAAAAAATCCCCCCCCCCCCGCCATAGTGCAGGAGGACAACTAGATCATGCCCATCGTGGCCACGCCCACCCAACAACCAGGCAGAGAACCCATTGCTAAAATTTTTGAAGGTGATTAATGGGAAATTTGAGAAAGGAGGAAGAGCGGTGCATATTGGTAAAAGATGTGTTCACCCTGGTATCTTCCAAGTAGAAAAGAAAACAGCTTGCCCCAAAATGACAGAACATTAATTCTATAAAGTAAGTTGTGTGAATTTGGGTGGAAACCTTGCATACACACGCACAAGCCATAGGTGCCCATAAAAGCAAAATTTCAGCGTAAGTGCTGAGTTAGAATTACCACCTTGATTTAGTGAATTAGTCAAGTAGAAGTTTAGTTGAAGATGAAAGGTTGGAGAAGGCTTCTCAAATACGAGCGATTCTGTCACAGGTTAACATAGGTAGCCCTCAATTTACAGCCCTTCGTTTAATGATCTTTCGAAGTTACAGCGACACTGAAAAAGTGACTTAGGACCGCTTTTCACATGACCGTTGCAGCATCACCCCATGATCACATGATCAGAATTAGGACGCTTGGCAACTGGCATGTATTTATGACAATTGCAGTGTCCTAGGGTCATGTGATCACTTTTTGCGACTTTCTGATGAACAAAGTCAAGGAGGAAGCCAGATTCACTCAGTGTTAGCTAACTGCAGTGATTCACTTCACAACGGTGGAAGAAAGGTCATAAAACACGTCAAAATTAACAAAAGAAAACTGACTTAACAATGGTCCTGTTAGGCTATGGAAATTTGGGGGTCAGTTGTGGTCATAAGCTGAGGACTACCTCTAGAGGCTTTCACTCTTCCTAGTCCATAGGAGCTGCGGTGGCACAGTGGTTAGAGTACAGTACTGCAGGCTACTTTTGCTGACTGCCAGTTGCCTGCAATTTGGCAGTTCAAATCTCACTAGGTTCAAGGTTGACTCAGCCTTCCATCCTTCCGAGGTGGGTAAAATGAGGGCCTAGATTGTTGGGGGCAAGAGGCTGACTCTGTAAACCACTTAGAGAGGGCTGGAAAGCACTGTGAAGTGGTATATAAGTCTAAGTGCATTTCTATTGCTCTTCCTTCCTTCCTTCCTTCCTTCCTTCCTTCCTTCCTTCCTTCCTT